ACACTGGTTGCCAGCACAGTGGAGAGTTGTCTTTAAGGCTATATATGGCCTCGCTCTGCCGTACCTGTTGGATCTGCTGTCTCTCTATGCTTCGCGCAGAGCTCTTCACTCCTCAGAGCACTTGTCCTTGGTTGTCCCACGGTCTCGATATAAAAAATGGGGCGACTGTTCTTTTGCTGTGTATGGCCCTAGACTCTGGAATTCTTTACCGCTAGAGCTTTGGTCTATAACTGAGCTAGCGGTATTTTAAGTCAGTTTTAAAAACTCACCTTTGTTAAAGAGGCCTTTGGTGTTTAATCCGTTTTATTTGCCCCAAAGGGACATCATTTAACTTGTTGTTTTATGCTATTTGTATCTTGATGGAAGTTTTTATTGCTCCAATTTTGGAAATTTGTGTTTTATTCTTGCTTATGTTTTATTGTTCTAGTATTGTTTTTTAGTTGATACATATGTTCTATTGTGCAGCACTTTGTGCTCCCCGGAGTTGTAAAGTACTATATAAATAAAGCTTTATTATTATTATTATTATTATTATTATTATTATTATTATTATTATAACCACAGGGGGAATCATTAAGCAAATTGTTGCTTGGCACTCCAAAATGAGGAGAAGAGGACGACAAACTAATGACAGCTGGGACTACGTTCTGTTGTATTGCACCCTGGCTGTCAAAAAATAAAATAAAAACAAAGGCTAATAGAGTGTCTGTTGACTGACTGATGACTAATGATTCGATTATTAGGGGGCAGCCTTTTATTTAATTAACAAAACACTCCAAAACTTTCATTTTGTCATTGTGTGTAGATTTGTGTGTGGGGAAAAAAGAATCAATTTTAATGAGTTTGAAATATAACAAACTGTGGAAAACAAGGATCTGAATACTTTCTGTATCCACTGTAGATCAGTTCCAGTCACTGATATTTTTTTTATCCTTTTCTAGTCCTGTCTCTTGTGGTGTATCACATGGTTGAGGTCTTATTTCATTAGCATTAACTATGCTTCCACTGAGTACTGTTTTTAGAAAATATAATGCCCCTGATAATTGTTATGCCGATGACATGCAATTCTTTTTTCTTCAAAACTGTCAGGTTTGCCCGGCTGCACCTGCTTCTCTCACTCTGTTCCTCTTTTTCGGCCCCGATTACATCACCTGGCACACCTGCTCCACATCCCGATTGTCACCAGCTGCACCTCATTAGTTCTATCCTTACTTATACCCCGCTCACCTATCACTCCCTTGCCAGTTTAATCTTGTTCTCAGGCCCGTTCGATCGTGTATGTTTTTTTTGTATTTAACCGTTTGTCTCTCTCCTTTAGTTCTCCTAGCTCCTACCAGTACTATCTTCCACTCTCCATTACCACACTCTCCGTCTGCTGTTTTCCTCCTCCACGGACTTCTCCTCCGGATCCTGGACCTACACTGCCCTTCCAGTCTCCACCATTTCAGGTCGAAGCACAGTCACCATAGCTCATCTCTACAAACTCCTGCCTTCTGTCTCCACAGTCACCACTGTCTCTCTGTCGACCAGCTCAGGAGTGACTCCAGCGTCCGCGGCCCAGCCTTCTCCTATCCATCTCACCACAAACTGGTTTCTCTGCTGCTGATAGACACCCGGTTACTCCCATCATTCTACAGTTGCCTGTTTTCTTGTTGACTTTATTCTCACTGTAAATAAATTTAGCACTGCTTGCACCGAAGTCAGCTACCTGGGTCCGCCTATCTTTACTCGCTCTCCTCCATGTCCGAGTAGACACAACAAAAACCAGGTAGATTAAAGCACATGATCCCCAGACTCTTCAGCCTAAAGGATGTCAAATGGTGGATGGCCAAAATTATCTCCAGCTTGACAGTAACACAGGTCCCAAACATCAGTCCTAGATATTCATCTGCTTATAGTTAGTGTTTTTCTTCTTCTCCTTTCTGTTTTGAACTTAAAATTTCAAAGTCTCAGTCTTTAGAAGTATCATTTTCCACATAATATTTGCAGCAAAAATAAATGGCCCACACTTTCTGTTGGAGATTTTATCTTATAAATGCTTATCTTTGGTTAACCAGTCATCCATATATTCACTGCAGCACCTTAGAAATGTGACAGCATGGTTCCTCACTGGCCCCAAGGAGTGAAACCATACTTTTCCCCTCTTGGCCTCCCTCCACTGCTTACCATTATTGATTATAGGCACTAGCATATGCTTTATAAATAAACTGACTTGAACTTACACATCAAGCACACATGGAGAAACATAATCATTCATTTGGAATCATGTTTCTAACCAGCTGACAAATGTCCAGTAATCACCCTCCTATTGGGTTTTTTTTTTATTATTATTGTACTTGATGCACTTCTTTTTTGTCTACTCACCCCGACCACTTGAAGCAGATGGCGACCCACCACAAGCTTGATTCTGCTGGAGGTTTCTTCTGTTAAAGGGATTCTTTCCTCTCCAGTGTCACCAAACACTTCCTCGTGGGGTTTGTTGAGTTTCTCTATAAAACTGTAAAGTCTTGACCTTACTTGTAAAGTGCCTTAAGATGGATTTTGATGTGATTTGGCATTATACACATAAAATGAATTTAACTGCTTTGTTTCAATTTTCAAAAACTGCAGAGGAAAAAAAATCTGGCTCCTAAATGTTCATGTATGTTCACCATGATAGTCAATAATTTTGTCTGTTGTTTGGTGCTGACCTGAGAGTCATCAAAGCAGTTATCAAAGCTTTTTAATACCAAAACACTAAAGCTGTGGGTCATGAAATTAGAACAATGAGCTGAAAGATGCTAAAATGCTCTGCACAGCTGAGAGGAACTGTAGAGGTGGTGATAATTCTCTATGGGTTCATCAATTTGAGTGACACCTTTCACAAGACATGAAATTGTGTGATCCGTGGTTAATACAGCATAAAAATATTGACTAGTGCAACTTTGAATGAAAAAAGAAACAAGAATGAAGGCATGACAATACTTGTGTGGGATCATAGAACAAATGATGGGCAACTTGAATTCACACTTAAGCAATTTATGGACAGTTTGGCATTCTGTCAATCAAATGATACGATGACTATATACCACAATAGTGACTACTGTATGCTGAACTTCTGTTAAGGTCAGAAAACATAGCAGACAGGTCAACAATGCAGCCATCACTGGAATCATATATTGTAAACTCAACAGTTTGAAGAGAAAAAAAAGACAAATAAATTGCAAATACTGCAAATGTTAAAATGCTCAGAGAATTATGCATTAAGGAGGTTTATATATTATATGAAATACATGACTCTAAAATCCTTAAACCATAAAAACAAATTCCAACTTGTCACCATAACAGTGACAGTGTTGTCATATGCAAACCTTACACCTTAAATAAATTCCAGTATCAGTTCTGTTTTAATGTTTTAACTGATTCACGCTCACTTGACATCAATATTTATCATATTCACCTACTGTATATGAGATGAAAAGAGTTACAGTAACCCTTAACTTTAGTTTAACAAGCATCCAATTATCTTTTTTTTTATGAACCTCTAAATATGAAATCACATCCTGTGACATACTCTGCAGCTTACTAGTTCACCATCATCACAAACATACAACTTAACATGTAAGTACAACAAAAGTATTCCCACATACATCACTCTCATTCCTTTTGTTTTGTCTCCAGCACAGTTCTTACTCATGGGTTTGCACAGGTGTGAACTGGACAATAGCAGGACATCGCATTATCATTTGTGCTATAAGTATATTCTTGTCATTGGTAATTTCTTCCCGAGGCAGATTGAAAAAATGTCCTTTGAAACTGCATCCACCGACCACTGAACAGTATCACAACAGTCACTTTTGCCTTGAGAACACTATTTGCCTTTTAACTTGGGGTAAGCCAGATTAAAAGCACACATTCATAACACCTGAATAAAGCTTCATAGCAGCTACACAGAACATTCATTCACATTAATTTTACCATCCTGTCATTCATAAAAAAAATCAGTGCTTGGGTCTCATGTGACATGGATGTGGACTGTTGCTTTTTCCTTGCCTCTGTAAAGTACTTTGAATTGCCTCTGTGTATGAAATGTGGTATATAAATAAAGTTGCTTGGCCTTGCAACTTGAGGTTTTTAGATGAAAATATCAAGCACTTTGGACTCCAAAAGTCTATTTAAATTGAAGAGGTTCTACATCAATTTAGTTTATCCAGATACTCCATCATTTTACTTTGGAATTTAAATATTACTGTAAAATACCTGGGTCATAAACATACAGCAGTTATATTTTCTGGTTGACTCACAGAGCATGCTTGCATATAAAACACGATTGTAACATTAATTTATATATTAAAAATTTGTGAAAGCTACATAAAAAAACATATGATGTTTTTGCTTTGTTTTGATCCACTACTATACTAAAACCAACTTTGAGACTAATCAGATACAAGTAAATAGTCCATCACAACCAACATAATATGTGCTGTCAGTTATGGTATTGTAGAGTGGTAGTAGTAGTGCAATGCATACTTTGCATTACCACACAGTAATTACTAAACCATAACAACAATAAAGTTAAGGTTAACAAAATAATAAATAAGTAAAAATAATAGATTTGAATGAAAAGAAAATGACTGGACAGTAAAAAAAAATAAAATAAAATAAAATTTAAAAAATATATACACACACTAGGTTTTCAGTAAATAAACTTGTTTAAAAAATCATGCACGGTCCTTTAAATACATCTATTGTTATGTACTGTACAGTCAGTTCTATCAAGTCTTCCAACCTAAACCAATATATGTGCCAACCCTAGAATACCACCCATAGGACAGGCGGGCTCTGATCAAGCTGTGTAGCATCTCAACTGCCACTGATAGGAGCAGGATGCACCACAGCTCAACTGCAAGCGTCGTAACAAAGGGTCTGAATACTGCTATTTCGACCTTTCATTTTTAATAAATTTTCAAAACACTCAAAACCTGTTTTCACTTTATCATTGTGTAGTGATAAGGAAAAAAAAATCCATTTTAAGATGCGTTTGAAACATAACAAAATGTGGGAAACTGAATAGGGTTTGAATATTTTTTCCTACTGACTGTATTTAGGATTTTAAGATATAGTTTCAAAAGGTACCTATTTATTGTTAAGCACTGGACCATCTGTCTCCTAGCTGGCAATCAACCAAAACAAACAGATAAAGAAAAATCAAACAAAATGAACACCAACCTGATTTATGATACGTTGTCACCTGTTTGGCTCTGCAAGTCCAAACAAAAAGCCTCAATTGCATAAAAGTGCACTGTACAACCAAGAAAACTCAAGGACTACTGTGGCTGCCTGAGAAACTTAGTGTAAAGGCTCGGTATCAATATGAATACACTGTTACACGTACTTGAGATGACTTGGTAACTTAACATCAGAGTGCATTAAACAAGTTGTACCTTTAAAACAATAATTTAACAGCACCACTTAGTTAGAAGTCAGTTCAGTGGCAAGGTGGTTATTAGACCCAGCAGCCTGACGCTTGGATGATGCCATCAGCACTACTGATAGGTTAAAAGTTGTGTCAAATAAGGTTCAGCGCTAAGCATTTAATCCAATTTCAATTCAAGAAAATGACACAGCCCACTGAACGACCCTTCTGTCTTAAACGATACTTAGCATGAATGTTTATAGTCTGAAAGTCTGCACTAAGTATGAATATGCCATGAAGCTGCTATGACACTGTGATTAGGTGTTTCAGAAATAAGTGCATGGATTTTGAGAAACAGTGCAGGAATTGTCTGTATACATTTGTACATTTTCTACACACAATACAATGAAAATAAAAATTTGGATGCACTATGCTGTAGGACTTTGCCTGAGAAATCATGATGCACTATATATTATTCTGAACTGTTTCTAATGAATGATCAGTTTTTCTGTTTTGCATACAACTGTAAAAATACAGTGAAATTCAACAATTACATTGCATTTTCCCCCTTTTTGTCATTTACTTAAAAAAGCTTCATGTTATTGTACAGATATTGAACAGGACGTGACACAATAATTATAATATGAATGTACACTTCAGTATTGGGCAATAAACAATCAAGCTATCAACAGTTACATGTATTTTTTTTTTCCTTTTCTCCTTTTCACATACAAAAAGGTTTGGGGAGACATAAACTCAGTAGTCATCTACATCATCAAATTAGTGCATCATTCAAATTTTTCCCTCCCTGGGATCGATGCCTCACTCCTGGAAAGCCAATAGAGAACAGACTCCGAAGCAAAACCAGAAAGAAAGGAAGAAAAAAAGACTAAGGGTGAACCACTGGCACTCTTGGATTTCCGTTCTTCTGATAGGACTAATAGTTCTTGCTGCTCAATGCTGAGAGAAACTTGTCAACGTTGTCACTTTTTCACATCAGAACTTCAGCAGGTGGAATGAGGTTACAGTCAGCAGGAGACATACAGAGTAGCGAGGCAACACGGCAGCCCCATTCACATCGTGCATCGCACCAGGACCTGGGGGAGAATAACACAACACTTACTGTGACTCCGGTGTCAGGGTTAACATATCTTAAGGGTCAAATCAGTGCTGGAACCACAGGTTTGCTTCAACATGAACGGTGATTAAATGGAATTCAAGTGTTTATGTGTTTTATTCCCTCAGCTAAACAGAAGATTTATAGTACATCTCTGCTGCAACTGCTGTGGAAACAAATGAATCATAGAAAATGAAAAGGTAAACCTGAGCATAACAAACAGTGAGTGACCTTTTCCTTTTTCTTTGTTTTTTTTTTATTTTTTAAATGTGAGCAGCTGATAGTGTGCAAAGATTCAGCTAATAAAAGTAGTTCACTTGGAAATAAATGACAGTAATTTTAACTTATTAACACTTTTATTCACATCTGTGTGCTTTTTTAAATGCAGTTTTTATTTTCTTACCATAAAGTAAGATGCTGGCATTAGTGATTCCCATGGTGTTCATGGCAACACATGTGTAGTTTCCATAGTCTTCTTCAGAAACATTGAAAAAGGTGAGCTTCGATTGTTTATCTTGATTCTCTATCTTAACCCTATTTAGTCCATTGAAGAGCCTGTAAGACAGAGGATAACAGCTTTCAAAGGTTCTGCTGCAAAGGAAACAAACGTGCTTATCTTGAATCCTGTGAGAGGCCAGGTTTGCCTAGGCATTTTGTCAAAGCTCTAGCACATGTACTTAAGATTTATATCTGCATGAAATTAGAAATACGTTTACACCTGTGAGCTGTGAAAAGCAAACATTTTTCTTATTCCAGCCAAAAACTCTGAATATAGCTCACTGACTTTTTGAAATAACTGTGCATGTACTCACTCACTGCTTTTCCTGTTCTCCTGCAATGGTTTCATTGCCTTAAAACATGTTCGTGGATGCTAGTCATTTATTTTATCAGCATCCTCTTTTTGTTCTCGAGAGCCGATTTTGACTTTTGGGCCTGATGAGAAATGTTGCTGTCACCGTCAGGGACCATTTAACAATGCAACATAGCCTGCAGTTACCAGCTCTGGGGATGCTCATAAACCTGTTTCCAGTATCCAGCCTTCAGCTGGAAAAGCCTGCATTATACAGTAATATCCACTAAACCTCTGTACCTCACACACTGACAGAAACCAATTACAGTATAAAAATAATGCTGCTTTTGGTGACCATGTCCATTTTGCAAGTGAACTGTCTGAATTTTTCTTTCATAATATTGTCAAAACCTTGCCTGTCAAGTCAAGAAGAAAATGCAGATTTTGAAGGATTATCTCATTACATCAAGCCACAATCTAAGCACAGTCAAAGCTATAACTAGTCTGTCTTATTTCAAATGAAGCAAGTTCACACCCTGCAGCAGAATAGACATCTTTGGATGTCTCCAATACTACCTTCAAACAATTCCAGGCCTGTAGAAATCAGTGCTCAGAGAAGAAACTTGCCTGCGGTCTTCTTTGTACCACTCAAAATTTGCCCTCGGGACAGCAGAGGCTTCACATTGCAGGACTCCTTTTTGTCCAACTTGAGTTCCTGTATCCCTCGGCTTGGAAATGAAGGGAGGATCTATAAATCAAAGTGAAATAAATTTCAAACATACATATCGCTGTGTTTCAGACTGCTTCATTTCTTTAAATGTTAATGACATAATGATATACAGACACAGACTGGCAGATGGGTTTGATAAATTATGTCTGGGATTGTGTCCAGATAAATCTTCAGCCATACATTTGTAAGCACAAAGCATGAGTATTTCTGTGTAAGCCATTATATAGCATGATATGATTTTTAACCATTTTAACTTGAGTGCATTTATAATAAACCATTTTTTAAAAGACAAGAAATAAGCCTTGAATATTTACTGTGTGCCTCTGACTTATAGCTCAGACTTTTTAAATATGTAAAATAAATGCAAAGTCCTCCTTTTCAAAAGAGACCAGGATCAAGAAATAAAAACATAAATATAAAAATATGGGTTCACACCATCAGAGTTTATGTAAGGGTATATATCCAGTCTCCTTTTCGTGTGTGTCCCCCATATGATTGTTATTTCCCCCATTTTCCACCATGAATGCGATAGTTTTGATATTTACAATTCACTGTCACTTGCACTGTCCTGACATCAGGGCTTGAGATCTCATTTGAAGCTATGCAGTCATATGATCCTGACTGCTCTTTGGTAATGGCCGTCAGCTCCAGGTGTTCCCCCTGAGACATAAATTTATGGGTGCCTGTGGAGATGAAACAAACAGAGGAAAAACATACACTAGTAATTAAGTCTGACTTGTACTGAGAATGTATCACTTCCTAAATGGCAGCAGCCTGGAAGTGACAAGGGAAAAAGGACCTATTTTGTAAATACACTATGTTGACCAGAGCAGCCATTACTCTGAAGTGGTTTGTTTAGTATGCTTATGGTGTTCATATCATATCCATCCATCCATCTATACTATTTATTCCTGAAGAGGGTCACAGGGCGGTTGGAGCCAATCCCAGCTGACACTGGGCGAGAGGTAGGATCCACCCTGCACAGTTCGCCAGTCTATCACAGGACTGACATGTAGACAAACTCACTCACACTCACTCCTACAGGCAATTTAGGGTCACCAATCAACCCAAGCGACATGTCTTTGGACTATGGGAGGAAGCCAGAGTACCCAGAGAGAATCAACACAGGTACAGGGAGAACATGCTGACTCCACACAGAAAGGCACCGAGTCAGCTGGGCATGAACCTGGAATTCTCCTGTTGTGAGGCAACAGTGCTAACCACTGCACTGCTGTGCCACTGCTGTGGCACCCTCATATCAAAATGACCTATTTATTTACTAAAATGAAAACAAGTAAAAAATTGCTTCTAAAAAACATATTGTTCAGTATGTTGTCACCAGCTATCCCTCACTTCCTGACACAGGTGTGCCATGATGCGAGGCCTCTGTGGCCACAACTTTACCTGTGATTATCTTTTGTACATCACACAGCCTGTGACTTGTCAAATGTGAGCTCACTATGGTAGGAGCAAAAGTGATATTAAGAAAATTTTGTACATATATGGGTCATGAACTGCAGAACACACAATACGAGTGTTTCTAACAGGCTGAGCAGCAAGTGGCGATTGACAAGTTATTTTTATAACATATGAAGTGTTGGCTACCTCTCCTTTTTGTATGGTTATGTTGAAATTTAACAGGACAATCTTGTGACTTTCTACATCAGCTGAGCACAGTAGCAGTCTATTCTTGTATTTGGAATTGGCTTTGTTTCCAAATGTGTCTAAAAGGCAGAGTAGTCAGGGCATGCACTCATTACACATAGAAAATAAACTAATTGTATCAAAACAAGCCCACTTGAGTAACACCACAAATTACCCCTGACACCAGCAATGTTAAAAGCATGTTCTGGTGACAGAGCGACCTAAAGCTACTGCTGTGTGGCTGGGAAAATGGAGAGCAGCACTAATCCCAATCAGTAAAAATGTCAATCCAGCAATATCTCTACATTAGCATAATATCATTATGTTTTCCAAATCCTCAGCTGCACAGTTGCAGCTGGCTGGGGATTCACTGCAAAGGTTGAGGGCTAGGCATAATCAGCACATTGCATATAACCAGGGGAACCGCTAGCACAGGCAAGTGGGCATACTTGTGAGTTACTACACTAGCTGATACTGTGTGACTTCTTTAATGATGGCCAAAGGGTGGACGTTTACTGTCAAAGTATCATCAAATGACCTCACTGCCCTTGAAATACACTGGATTATTATACTGCAGATGCAGTATTGTTTATATTAAAGCACTATGCCTAAAAAACATACTGTAAGTATAAGGCTAGTCATGCTTTATATGAGGGATAGGACGATACGACTTTTTCTCAAGCCTATTCGATGCACAATGTCATAATCAGAATTTAGAATCAGAATCACCTTTATTAGCCAGGTGTGTTGGACACAAGAGGAATTTGGCTTGGGTACAGAGGCCCTCAATGTGCATATACAGTGTATTTCATAAGGCACCCAGGAAACAAGACTAATGACTGTGTGTTTAGGAAAGAATATGAAAAAAGAAAATAAAAGACCTTATAAAATATATACTGTATGTATATACACACATTTTAGGTTGAAATTAGCAGATAGATATATACAGCTGATCAGCATAGGTTTTTAGTCAGGAGGGGGTCACACTGTTTGGGCCTGGTGCCTTTCTGATTCTTTGTTTTTTGTAAAGGCTACACATGTCCTTTTCACAGCTCTTCAGTGGTGGGGGAATGGAGTCAAGAGATGATCGTGGGAGGAGCAGCTGCTGGGTCTGAGGTGAGGTGGATGAGGGGTGTGGAGTTCTGCTTCTCAAACCTACAGTAAAACACAATCAGATCATCTGCCAGTCGATGGTCTTCCACAGTGGGGGGTTGTTTCCTGTAGCTAGTGATGTTTTTCAGGCTTCGCCACACAGATAAGGGGTTTTTGGCAGTATGTTCCTGGCCTGTCTGTACAGAATCCTGTCCCCACTTCTGTAGGCCTCCTCTTTGGCACGACAAAGCTGCTTGAGTCTTACTGTAAACCAGGGCTTGTTGTTGTTGTACAGTATGTGCAGGAGGTCTTAGTGGGCACACACATCCTCACAACAGCTGCTGTACGATGTCACAGTGTCAGTGAGTTCATCCAGGTCTGTAGATGTTGCTTCAAAGACCCTCTACTCTGTGCAGTCTGAGCAGGTCTGTAGCTCTGACTTTGCCTGCTTGGTCCATCTCTTCACTGTTTTGACCACAGACTTTGCAGCTTTAAGTTTCTGCCTATAGGTTGTGATAAGATGGACCATGCGGTGATCAGATAGACCAAGGGCTGCACAGGGGACAGAATGATAGGTGTCTTTTATTACAGTGTAGCACTGGTCCAATGTGTTTTTGTCCCTGGTGGGACAACTGATGCGTATTTGGGCAGTTCATGGGTGAGATTTGCTCTAATTAGCTGTTCAGCCAGGTGCTGTAGTGTGCTAGAATGGTGCCTGAAGTCTTATATACACTGAGTAGAATGAATGATGAAAATTCTCTGGGAGAATAAAATGGTTTGTAGTTGATGAAGAAGATGTCTAAATCCGTGTTGCAAGTTCTTTCTAGCACTGTGACATCTTTACACCAACCTCAATTTATGTAGAAACACATTCTCGTTCTTCTTGTTTTCCCAGATAACTCCGTTAGACAATACACTCTGTATACCTGGAACGCTGGTATTTGTATTGCACTGTCCAAGATGGAATTGCTGAGCCAAGTCTCCATGAAGCATAGAGCAGCAGAGGGCGACAAGTCAGAGTTAGTCCGGTTGACAAGGAGTTCATCCATTTTGTTGACTAGAGAGCAGAGATTCACTAGGTGGATAGATGGGTCTTTATCCTTCTCTGTCGTAAATGAACCAGGACCCCCACTCTTTTCCCTCACCATCAAAAATCGGAGGTGATCAGAGTGAGTTGTCTGATGTTTAATAGTTCTTCTCTGGTAAAGGTAATCTGGGATGAGTTGCAGAAAACGAGGAAAACAAGGACAAAAAAACAAACACATGAAAGTGCACATTACCAAGGCAGCCATACACGGTGCAATTTGATTCAGTCATGATACAGTTAAAAATTCAAGGACAACAATGTATGACTAGCTGTGGAATACTTGTAGTTTATTTCTCTTTTTTCCCATTCTCTAGCTGGTTTGATTATGTAAAGAACAACCAGATATATCAACTTATGTTCAATATATTGTCCCAGCCGGAGAAGTCAGTGTCTCCATCGGCGTGTGCATGTGTGTTGGCACCACAGATGGTTGCCTCGGTTATTTACCAGAAAAAAAATTCCTTGTGTGTGTAACACACATGGCAAATAAAAGTGATTATCATTACCATTATCATCCATACTTAATATGTAAATTTAACTATAGCTGGGATTTTGACATTTCTTATTTGATGCTAAACTGGTGCAGACAAATATAGTTCACTTGGTTCAGACAAAGGTTTTTTCAAAACTTCTCAAATTCATGATATTTTGGAACCTGTCCAGCCAAAAACAAGCAGTTGTTTCAGAGAGTAATACAATACTATGTTATATTACTCTTTAAATTCCAGCTTTTGTGTCAAAGCAGACAGTTTCAGAGTGTGCGGACAGCCTAAATTCCTGCAAATTTTTTTTCTCAAACAACTGAGGCAACAACTGGTGTGTGGGTTTTTGCTGATTCCCAGTCAACCCACTGCTAAGACTGTGTATGCGTGGCCTGCTATTACTCAGACCTTGGCATTATTGGCATTGTGGGGACATGTATCTATTTACACAGTCAGACTGTGAGGACCCAATGTCTTTATAGAGACAAAAAAAAAACATAAGGAAAGCCTTGTATTTTTATATTTTCGAGTGATGACTTGGTTTCACGGTAGGGTGAGGTTAGGTTATGGATAGCATTAGGCAAGTAATGGTTATGGTGAAGGTTAGGGTGGGTCTGCAAGAAATTAAGTCAATGTAATGTCCCCTGAAGTGATGGAAACATAGCATATGTGTGTGTGTGTGTGTGTGTGTGTGTGTGTGTGTGTGTGCATGCGTGCTTCTTATGTCAGTGGTAACAATAGCATTTCAGCATTCAAACAACCTGAGAACAGAGCAGAAGTAAATACAACCCCAAATCAGAAAAAGTTGGGATGGGGAGTAAAATCAAAATTAAATTGTATTGTAAATTATTTGTAAATCATCTGTGTCCTGTGTTACATTGAAAACAACACAGCAGCACATTATTTGATGTGATACCTCATCAATTTTATTCTTTGTTTAAAATAAACAGAGTTCAATTCTGATACTGCAACACAATCCCAAATGTTGGGACAGCTGCATTTCAGGGCCAGTACTGAGGTAAAACAATGAAATGCTGATTCCATTTGAAACAGGTGATGACTGTATCATGATTGGGTACAGAAGTGGTATCCAGGAAAGGCTGAGCCCTTCGACCCCAAATCAGAAAAAGTTGGGATGGGGAGTAAAATCAAAATTAAATTGTATTGTAAATTATTTGTAAATCATCTGTGTCCTGTGTTACATTGAAAACAACACAGCAGCACATTATTTGATGTGATACCTCATCAATTTTATTCTTTGTTTAAAATAAACAGAGTTCAATTCTGATACTGCAACACAATCCCAAATGTTGGGACAGCTGCATTTCAGGGCCAGTACTGAGGTAAAACAATGAAATGCTGATTCCATTTGAAACAG